AGCCCCCGACACGATCTTCCTGATGGTGGAGTCAAATCTTTAAAAGCAAATTGCGGGTGCACGAGGAAAGTGGGAAGCGGTTAGTGAATGTAGTAGCCTTCGACAAGATCTGTTATTGATGGTTGAATCGAAAGTGGCTAATAGAATACTGATCTGCCACACAAAAATGCGCTGAAGTCCCTTCGATCTCAAACGAGGACTTTGATAATTTTTTCTACAGACTGATGATAGGTACTACTAATGACTTAACGGTGTTTCGTTTTTAAATTTTTTCTCTAATTATAAGATTATCTTATTATCTTAACATTATAAGATTTCTTATAATTAGAGAACAAATTTAAAAAAGAAACACTCATAGTCATTGTCTGTGTCCATCATTAGTCTGTAAAAAAAATCAGCTTCATTTATCCAACGGTAACCTAGTTATATCCGTAGAAAGTTCGTGAAAAACCGACTAAGAATTGTTTTTTTACGGAGTTATCAAATGCGCGCGATTTTTTTCAATATTTTTTTAAGAGCTATTATCAACGTTTTCATTTGGTGTATAACTTATTTTCTCGAAAAACAACCTTTCAGAATTGGTACCGCAAGAAGTACCCGCAGCGCCTTAAGTCATATAACCTGAGGCGGCAGACGATCGATTTTAGCATACTCTGATAGGGCAAAAAGGAACTCCATCGGTTAAAATTTTGATCATTCTCGTTCAGTGGATTTCGTGCTAGCTCCCCTACTATAAGTGGAGAGTGGCAGCCTAGGGTCGAACCTATTCACATCAAAATGTAGTTATTATTATATTTAAATGAAGTCTTAAATAAACCCAATATGAAACAATAAAATATTACATGGTGCAAGATAATTCATTACAGTATTCAGTACCGCAATAAAAGGGGATTCTCAAGTCAATCGGAAGCCAATGTTTTGGCCCTAAGATCGACGAACATGGAGCAACTATTATGTGTACTTAAAGAAGCTTCAAAAAGATCAGCGAACCAACAGCTTCAGGTAAACCCCGTCCAAACAATAATAAAATAAATTAAATCCTGTGTGCCCAAATGTATGTGAGATCAGCAAGAACCGTGAGACCTACTTGGTACAACTGTCTAGGATGCATGTACCAGTTTAATTTTAAAAGGGTTGCAGCGAATTTCTTTAATTAACTTGAGAAACTCAATCGTAATTAACTATGTAAAGCAAGTACCTGCTTTTATCTTCAATCGGGCACGTATTCAAGTCACGAAAATTTTTACCATCGAGACTGCGTCAAATAAAGATTGTCCGTTAACTATGTGACCCATATATTAATATTTTGGAAAGATCTTGCAACGCTCGTTTAGAAATATAAATAAATATATATACACATTGTGTTAAAATATACATAGCGTTCTTATGCCACTTCAGCACCTAACGTTTTTTACAAGACATTGCGACCCGAGGCTAACACACTCTAGCACAACGTTCGTTTCTTTGATTAAATGAAATCTTTATTAATTAAATAGTTTAAAGGTTTTCACGGTGTATAGATAAAACCTAAAGCAAACAAAGGCGCTTAACGTCGTCTAAATTTGAGTTTAATCGGTTCCTTCGTTTTTAAAACTACGTGAGCCACCAATGTAATACTTTTCGGTGTGTCGACGGGCATCACTTCGTACTCCCTTAAAATCGACGATATAATAGTTTTTCCCATTAACAATGAGAATTTGTTTCCCATGCAGCCTCTAGGACCAGCGCTAAAGGCGAGGTAGGCGAAAGGGTGTCGATTTTTGCAATTTTCCGGCGAAAACCTCTCCGGATCGAATTTGTACGGATCTGGATAGAGTTTGGGGTCGTGGTGGATGTCATATATGCGCACGTTGACATTGGTGCCCTTTGGGAGGGTGTATCCGGTGTGTGTTGTCATTTCTTCCGTGATGTATCGCGATATCATAGGCCCGCTGGGGTATAACCTCAGGGTTTCCTTTAACACCTGATCTAAATAACGCATACTTTGCAAGTCTTCGTAAAAGGTGCTGTCGTCGGTTTTGCTGAACACTCCCTCGACTTCTTCATAAACTTTTTGCTGCATGTTTTCGTTTACGTAAGCGAGATATTTGCTTTAAGTTATTTTAGCTTACCTGTACTTCGCTATGGCTGGCCAGCAGCAACAAGGCGAAGCAGATCATACTGGTAGTTGTATCGTGGCCCTAGAGATACTCAGATTGTACCCTTGCGAAAAACTACCTCCAGTTACTTACCGCAAACATAAAAGCATCTGCTTCTTCCCGAATATCGGCAACAGGAATTCGTTCGTCCAAGCTATTTTCAATTAGCAAATCGAGTAATCCTGCACCTCGTTTCAAAGAAGCACCTTTAATGGCAAAGTTCTTCCACTTTTCTTGAATTATGTTATGTGTAAAGTCGTGTAACACTTTCAAGACCTTCCTCGATTCCCAGTAGCTGGGTGTTAACGGGTATATTGGCAAAAATGCATACCACGGTCTACTAAGCTGATGAATGAATAGTTCACCGATCCGATGTGACGCTGCTAGATATTTACCTACTTCTTCATTGTCCTCGTCCAATTTTGTACCCATTACCGTTTCTAAAGGTACAAAATTTTATTACGTGACGCTAATTTATTGGAATGTATTACCACAAACTACGTGCATTGTGCTTTTCGATACGAGGGGCTCAATCTCTGTGTATTTCTTTTTACTTTCTCGCTCGATAAGTTGAGTGAATCTCTCGGCGTGCTCCTTGAAGGCCTCCACAAACTTACGCATGGTGCCAATGCTAAATGCTGGCCCTGTCATTTTCCTTCTTTTCCACCACTTCATCCCTACATTATACCATCAAAACTAGAGTCTCTCTCAGAGGGACGTTGATTTTTACCTGAACTGTTAAACAGTCCCTTTCCGACCCAAGGCTCGAGCAACTGATACGTTTGGCCTTTATTAAGGTACTTCCCGGAGGATAGCAGCACCTGAATGTCTTCTGGTACCATTAGATTAACGTAAAGGGTGTTGAGCACCAGGGTTTTGTAGATCGGTAGGGCGTGAGTTTTTGCGAACTTGTGGAGGTATCTCCATGTTTTATCTGAAACCGAATTAACGTTAGGTAGGTACTTAATGAGTGGTTGTCCATTTATAACATTCTTACTTGAACTATGCTCCCTGCTACGGCAATGGTGCTTACTGAGAAGCAAGAAATGTTATTATACACACGAATTAAGACGTAAATTCAACATTCTTAATATATTAATTAGTTTATCGTTGACATTTACACCGCCAAGTTGATAGAAAATTGATACATTTGTGCAAGGAAGTCAATTTTGCTTCAAACCAAATCAAAATATTGATAACTAACCACTCATGCCACAAATAATAATAAACAAAAAAGAAACTTACCCGGTGAAAATAAGAAGTAGGGTAGTGCCCCTAAAAAAGGATAGTGGTAAGGTCCGGGAAGTTTGTTTGTTAAATGGGCACGTCTTCTATTGGACCACCATTTGACCATAAGAATGGCTAGTAGCACTAGTAGTGACACGATCGCCATGATTATACCATTACACTAGCCTAATCGCTCGTAAATTGCTTCTTATATTACAGACAAGCATTACGCATTAGACCTTTTGTACATTGTCTAATACTGACGTAAATGATAAATGAATATGGACGATTAGTTAGTGCTACTTTTCATTTTTGTTTGTCAATGTATTGTGGTGGTAACCGAAAAATGATACGCATATTTTGTATGTCACGCTTCCTGTTTGTAACTCAAAGAAGTTTATTGCATATTTGCATACAGGAAGATGGCATGGATTATTGCTTATTATTAATTAGTAAGTGGAGAGTGGTAGCCTAGGGTCGAACCTATTCACATCAAAATGTAGTTATTCTATATTTAAATGAGTCTTAGGTAAATAAGCCCAATATGAAACAATAAAATATTACATGGTACATGATAAATCAGTACAGTATTCATGTACCGCAATAAAAGAGGATTTTCAAGTTAACCGGAAGCCAATTTTTTGGCCCTGAGATCCACGAACATGGAGCAACTATTATGTGTACTTGAAGAAGCTTCAAAAAGATCAGCGAACCAACAGCTTCAGGTAAACCCCCTCCAAACAATAATAAAATAAATTAAATCCTGTGTGCCCAAATGTATATGAGATTAGCAAGAACCGTAAGACCTACTTGGTATAACTGTCTAGGATGCATGTACCAGTTTAATTGTAAAAGGGTTGCAGTGAATTTCTTTAATTAACTTGAGAAACTCAATCGTAATTAACTATGTAAAGCAAGTACCTGCTTTTATCTTCAATCGGGCACGTATTCAAGTCACGAAAATTTTTACCATCGAGACGGCGTCAAATAAAGATTGTCCGTTAACTAGGTGACCCATATATTAATATTTAGGAAAGATCTTGCAACGCTCGTTTAGAAATATAGGTACTTATATATACATTGTGTTAAAATATACATAGCGTTCTTATGCCTAATGTATTAAGGATGGATCACTTCAGCACCTAACACTTGTTACAAGACATTGCGACCCGAGGCTAACACATTGTAGCACAACGTTCGTTTCTTTGATTAAATGAAATCTTTATTAATTAAATTGTTTAAAGGTTTTCACGGTGTACAATTTTTTTTATTGAAAATCAATTTCCGCGAAATTATTGGGGGTATCGAGACAAAAATCGTGTCACTTCATTCCCAGAGCACATCTATATAATAACCTTAATAGTTGAACGTTACTTTAGGGTGGCTATCCTTTTAAAAGACTAGGGAAAAAATCCGGAGTGGGGTCTGGGGGTTTGGAATGCCTCCAACCAGCAGAAAGTGCCCTTAGCAAAAAATAATTTTTATTCGTTATTTTTAAAAATTTCTGAAAATTAAACAGATGGACCAACAGATCGAAAAATAATGTAAACCACTCATTAAAATGCACTGCATTTTATCAGCATTTCAATTGATAATACAACAACATCACAATAAATAAAATAGCTTAATAGGTACATGTAAGTACAATAAATAGATAAAACCTAAAGCAAACAAAGGCGCTTAACGTCGTCTAAATTTGAGTTTAATCGGTTCCTTCGTTTTTAAAACTACGTGAGCCACCAATGTAATACTTTTGGGTGTATCGACGGGCATCACTTCGTACTCCCTTAAAATCGACGATATAATAGTTTTTCCCATTAACAATGAGAATTTGTTTCCCATGCAGCCTCTAGGACCAGCGCTAAAGGCGAGGTAGGCGAAAGGGTGTCGATTTTTGCAATTTTCCGGCGAAAACCTCTCCGGATCGAATTTGTACGGATCTGGATAGAGTTTGGGGTCGTGGTGGATGTCATATATGCGCACGTTGACATTGGTGCCCTTCGGGAGGGTGTATCCGGTGTGTGTTGTCATTTCTTCGGTGATGTATCGGGATATCATAGGCCCGCTGGGGTACAACCTTAAGGTTTCCTTTAACACCTGATCTAAATAACGCATACTTTGCAAGTCTTCGTAAAAGGTGCTGTCGTCGGTTTTGCTGAACACTCCCTCGACTTCTTCATAAACCTTTTGCTGTAAGTTTTTGTTTACGTAAGCGAGATATTTGCTTTAAGTTATTTTAGCTTACCTGTACTTCGCTATGGCTGGCCAGCAGCAGCAAGGCGAAGCAGATCATACTGGTAGTCGTATCGTGGCCCTATAGAGATACTCAAAATGTACCCTTGCGGAAAACTACTTCCAGTAACTTACCGCAAACATAAAAGCATCTGCTTCTTCCCGAATATCGGCCACAGGAATTCGTTCGTCCAAGCTATTTTCAATTAGCAAATCCAGTAATCCTGCACCTCCTTTCGGAGAAGCACCTTTAATGGCAAAATTCTTCCTCTTTTCTTGAATTATGTTATGTGTAAAGTCGTGTAACACTTTCAAGACCTTCCTCGATTCCCAGTAACTGGGTGTTAACGGGTATATTGGCAAAAATGCATACCACGGTCTACTAAGCTGATGAATGAATAATTCACCGATCCGATGTGACGCTGCTAGATATTTACCGACTTCTTCATTGTCCTCGTCCAGTTTTGTACCCATTACCGTTTCTAAAGGTTTCAAAATTGTATTACGCGACACTAATTCATTGAAATGTATTACCACAAACTGCGTGCATTGTGCCTTTCGATACTAGGGAGTCAATCTCTGTGTATTCGTTCTTACTTTCTCGCTCGATAAGTTGAGTGAATCTCTCGGCGTGCTCCTTGAAGGCCTCCACAAACTTACGCATGGTGCCAATGCTAAACGCTGGCGCTGTCATTTTCCTTCTTTCTCGCCACTTCATCCCTGCATTACACGATCAGAACTAGTCTTTCTTAGAGGAACGTTGATTCTTACCTGAACTGTTAAACAGTCCCTTTCCGACCCAAGGCTCCAGCAACTGATACGCTTGGCCTTTATTAAGGTACTTCCCGGAGGATAGCAGCACCTGAATGTCTTCTGGTACCATTAGATTAACGTAAAGGGTGTTGAGCACCAGGGTTTTGTAGATCGGTAGGGCGTGAGTTTTTGCGAACTTGTGGAGGTATCTCCATGTTTTATCTGAAACCGAATTAACGTTAGTAATGAGGTACGTAATGAGTGGTTGTCCATTTATAACATTCTTACTTAAACTAAGCTACCTGCTACAGTAATGGTGCTTACTGAGACGCAAGAAGTGTTATTATACACACAAATTAACGCGCAAATTCAACTATTAAGTAGTTTATCGTTGACATTTACACCACCGGGTTGCGTGATAGGAAATTGATACATTTGTGCAAGGAAATTAATTTTACTTCAAACCAAATGAAAATATTAATAACTAACCGCTCGTGCCACAAATAAGAATAAACAAAAAAGAAACCTACCCGGTGAAAATAAGAAGTAGGGTAGTGCCCCCAAAAAGGGATAGTGGTAAGGTCCGGGAAGTTTGTTTGTTAAATCGGCACGTCTTCTATTGGACCACCATTTGATCATAACAATGACCAGTACCACTAGTATTGACACGATCGCCATGGCTACACTATACTGACCTAATCGCTCTAAACTTGCTTCTTATATGGGAGGCAGAAGTTACGCTTTTTTGAATTGCTGTAACAACTTGACGTCATTGATAAACAAGTGTGTACTGTCAGAGCTGCTTGGCTTTATTTCTCGTAAGTACGGGAAATACGATTCAATTAATTTATTGACATTTAAGTGTCTTTAGTTTTAAAACTTAAGGGCATCCGCTACTTTCAAGTTCTACCAAAGGATTGTGATAGATAGCGACCATCTTCAACGTCGACGGTTAAACATTTTTACACGTGGTTTTTTTAGTGTATTCGTTCATCTGAAATTTTAAAAATGCCTTGTTTGAGACTTTTGAGGGGCCCTAATCAAAACAAAAATGGTCCCTTTTTTACATTTAGGATTATATTCTCGTCTTAAGTATAAATAGTATATTCCGAAATTTATTTGATTTTTGGAACAATCGTGATCTCGGTACATGATCTCTATATTCAAAAATGAATTTGATTTTGGAAAATCGCAACCTTGCACGATTCAATTTTGGATTGTGGTTAATTAAGCCTAAAATGGTTTTTCAATTAAATTCTCTTGCGACAACTTGTAAGCGCTGATAAAAATTCGGTCAGTACATGAACTTTCTCAATTTAGTCCATTAGTTAATAATTAGATAATTAATCATCTTAAACGTATCTCTTCGCACTGGGCGACTTAGCAGCGCTGCTAAGCAGAAGGACAGGACGCAGTGCAGCGCTGCTAAACAAACCAATATAAAGGGGCACTTACGAGTATTTACTTTGAATTTTGCAAGTATAAGCATTTGCTTACTTTTATTCATACGGGCCAATGACGCAATGGAAAGTGCGTGTTCTAATATTATGCACTAAGCAACAACGAAAGCTGTCAAGGATGATTATTTGTAATTAGTTCACACTATAGATCTCTATTCGTTGGGGGAATCACCTGCAGTTAGATCAAATACGTCATTAATGGCGCAGTTAATCCAATACGATAATAGATGTTATCAAAGTTTATCTGCGTATAATTGGGTCAAGTCGTTACCACCGGTGGTATCGGTCAGTTCCGAAAATGAATTATGTAATAACAATGCTAATCCACGTGTTAATAAACCTGTTGATCTTCTTGGTTTCTTCCTTTCCCTGATAATAATATGGCAGTACAGTTAGTGAAAAAATATACGAGGGAATTTTCTTTAATTCTTATCTAACTATGAAAGAAACCGTTCCGAGCTTCAAAAAATTACTTTGCTTACACTCACTCGCATATAAGCAAAGGCAGCATGATACACAATAAAACAGAATGTTACGTATTTCTAAATTATTGTGATAGAAAAATAACTGGTTGCATGCGACCGAATTAGATTTCGTGTTCCGAACATTTAGTTCTTGTTTGGTTAAACCACAGATTTAAATATACTATATTTAAATCTGTGGTTAAACGAACGATGCCTGCTAAGCATGCTCTACACGACTTGCGCCACCTCTGCAACCTACCCGACGGCCCGAATCGCCCGCAACGGCATCACCACAGAGTTGTATATAAGTAAATAGAGTGGCAGTCTTGTTACAGAAAATTGACTCCAATTGAACCTTGCGCAGGCCGTTGGTGAGTGTGCGCAGTAATTGACAACAGTACCGGCTTCAAATTAAATGACCCTTAAAGCAGGTTTGGCTTGAGAATAATATGGTTTCTCATTGCAACAAAAATTGAATAGAAATTCAATGTGTGGTGAATGATTTTGTTAACACTGTGTCTTGAATAAATAAGAAACATTACAATCCTTAAGAACTTTTTAATACAGTAGACTACAATACAAAGCTGGTAAGGGGCTTACATCAACAGAATCGAGAAAAGATTTTTTGAGATTCTGGTATAAAGGAAATCGTATATTTGTCGTGCGATCGAGTTTAAAGATCAATTTTGCACTCAGTGAGTATAAAAATAAGCAATGAAAGAATAAAATAAGTTGAAATTTTATTTTGGTGCGGGACAGAATTTCAGGTGTGCAATGCCGAAAACACAGTTTGAATACGGGTAGCCACAAAGTCGACAAACTACAAATGCCAATAACTCAAATATCTCAAAAATGGAGCATTGGCAGAGGGTATGGACAGTGGCACCACGCTCAGAAAGTCCCTGACAGGGCGTGTCCGAGGGCGCTGGAAATTCAGACTGTACATTCTCATGCAAAATTTGACTCTACTAAATATAAATAACTGGGCCACGCGATATGAGTTGCATTACTTCAAAGGGAAACAGTAAAATTAATAATTTAAACATTTAAGATTGTTAGATGTTCATGTTCAACACAATTTACAATTCTGATGCACTTCTGCTGTGTAAATATGGACAGTTATTGAAACAATCACATTGAAATTAATAACACTCACATTGACTAAATTAACACACAACCTTTAACTTTTTTCATTCATTATCGTCACTTGGACCACTAAATCTTCATCGGAACTCCCGGTGTTCACAATAAATTGTACATTGTCAATAAATTCATTTCTCGTAGGAATGTTATTTGCTTCTAACCAAGAACGTATCACTTCCTTACGATTAGGTATTCATTGTTGGTGGCTTATTTATTTGAACACTGATAAGGTGCGTTATCCATAATCACAATTGAGTTTGCTGGTAAATTTGGTATAAGCTGCTTCTCTAACTCTATGATTCATATCATCGTGATAATCCCCCGATTTACTGTACGACATCCTCTACAAAACCAGAACGACTACCAGCATACTACGATGTACCTCTGACCACCCCTATTGGATTTATAAACTTCCGCGATACTTCATCTGATTGTTAGCATTTACTCACTCCATATGATGGGTGAATATAGGTTTCGTCCAAGTATATAACGGGTTTCTTGTCACATTCAGGTTGTTCGTTTTCTTTTAATCTTCTTAAATAACGAGAACGCCTTACTACAATATCACTTTTTTCCATTACAACCTACGTTTGTCCTGGCACTTCTTGTATCGAAAGTTTCAACAATTGCTTGCGAAGAGTTTTCCACCCATAAGACTATAGTTGATCTTTTCTTGCATTTTTCTAGGAACATTTTAAAATAACCTTTATTTATGTACAGATCGTCGCCTACTAAACATTGAAATGGCGGTAGAGTAGGTATAATGTAAAATGGGCATGCTTAAATTATTACTCCAAAGCGTCTGTTTATTTACAAATGAATCTGAAGCATCTGAAAAGTTATTGCTGTTTTGTTTTGTGATTACTGATTATGTAACTGAATCAGGGGCGGATGGGCAACCTTGCACCGGCCCTGGAGATAAGCCGCCCGGGGGGGGGGGGCTTCAAAATTTTTTAAATAGCATTGGACTTACTTTCGTTGCCGTCTTCAATATTCATGCCATCATCACCATTGCTATCATCAGAATCATACGAATTAATCTCATTGTCATAATCAAATTGGTAGACATCGTAGATGAAGCGAGATTTAAGTTCTGTTTTTAACTGTGTCGAAGTTGCGTTGGTGTTATATTTTTTTATTTTCTCTGAAAGGAAGTTCATGCAGTCTTCGGGAAGGTCTCTTTTTTGATTAATTTCCTTAAAATGTTTCTGGTCGAGCACAGCTAGATCTCTACATAAATTCATATTTTTAGAGAATCTTCTCTCCAAGGATTCAACGGTGACATCCATTAAAACGTAGTACGTTGAAATTCTGAATTTTTCCTCCTCAGACTTTGGTTGCGAATCGGTTGCCTTTTCATCAAAAAACTTTTTTACTCGTCTACGTCGCACACAAGGAAAACTTTGTTCAACTTCTACATCGACGTCTCGCACATTGAATTGATCAGTTGCCCAGGCTATAAATTTTTTTGTGGCATCTTCAATGCTGGTCATATCACGTTTAATTGAACGCAACTGCCGAAGAGCATTCTGTATCATTGAATTACACCGAATCAGATCTAAGCCCTTAGTTTGCAGGTACCTCGATAGCGGCCCTGTTATATCAAAAATTTTTAAAAATACCTGTGATGTGATTATAGTTTCATATTTTAACAAAGCATAACTTTGTAATTTCTCGCAGTAACTCTGGTGTCTGAGCTAATTCTTTGATCGTCTTCTATTGTTTGCAATGCGGTAATAACATCTATATACAATGCTGATTTGGGATCATTAAATTCTCCGAAGATCTTGACCAAAGAGATCGTCATCACATCATCAACAATAAAATTTAATCCTCTTATTTCAGCAGTCAGTTTAAAATTTAACCAGCCCACTTCGGCAAATTTAAAAGAGCTAACTTACCTTTTTACTTGGAAATATGCTACATAGGTAACTATACTTTACGGAAAAGTAGTTTTTTTCTAAGAAATTCAGGAATTGTTAGAATTTCGTCGCATAACGCATAAACTATTTAGTAGGTAGGTATTTATTTAGGTACATTTTGCAAATTTGAAGTTGTTATAAGGATTACAGTCTACGGATGGTGAAAGTGAAAAAAGCGTATTATACTTATTAGAAAGATGACATCAGACATCAACATCAACATGTAATTATGTAAGTCTAAGCGCCTTCTAATTTGTTCGCCACGCCGGACTCCACCGGCCCATATGGAACCGGCCCTTCGGGCACTTGCCCGAATGCCCGGCCGTCCCATCCGCCCCTGAACTGAATGCACCCAAAAATCATGCTGATTCCCCTTTCACGCACCGCGCATGAGTCCCAACGGCTCCGCCATTAAAAGTCGGCCACTGTAGTTGGAGTTATTTTTTCACGCGCAGGTTGTATGTACTGCCTCTCTATTTACTTATATACAACTCTGTGGGCATCACGGACTTTCCATTTTTGTTTTGGGAGATTTGATTGGCTGCCGAGTAAAGCGATTCTAATTGGCTCTTAGAGAAAGGTGGTAATTAATTAAACAAGTATAAATTGTGCACAACTCTCGTGCAGATAAAGCGCATTTTTTTGACATCACCAATGGATATATTTCTTGCAGACGTCTCAATCGCCCATTGTGAGTACCCGCTTCCGACAATCCGTTCTTGAGGTATAAGGGAATATACCCGGTCACGATAAGAGGCTATGGTTGGTAGAAATTAATTCGTTGAGACCTTTCATTAGAGTACCATGAAGGATAAAACTAGTTCCACTCCCGTACTGATAAGAGGACAAAAAGAAGGGCAGTAGTTGGTAGAAAACGGTTCCTTTCGTTGAGACCTTTAATTAGTATACAATGAGAGGTAAAATTAATTTTTAACCCCCGAAAATTGGCTGACTGAAAAAAAAGAGAAATAAAAACTGCTTAAATAGTACATGAATAATCTTTTAAGGATTCAAGAGTATTTCTGAATATCTTTGACTTATTATTGTGCTAGAAAGTCTTTCTTAAAGGATTTTTAAAAGTCACTCGAAGATGATAATGTTTAGAAGACACTTCTTTAAAGATTCATTAGACTTGTCCGACGAAGTTTTGGTAACAATGAAGAACCATCGAAGAAGGATCACTGAAGTACTACAATATTAACCAGAGTTCCAGTTCCGGTTCCAGAGAACACTCCTAAAGATCAATCTATTACAATGTTCTAAAAATTACCTCAGACATTTTATTAAGTATCTTTAAGATTTTCAAAGAATTTCGGAATGTCTAGAGTGTCTTTGACCCTTCTAGACCGTAATGGACCAGCTCTGACAAAATATTTATTTGGAAAGTCTCTCAAAAATTCATCAACATTTTTCAATATGTGCTATTGCTGGTGTTTAAACTAGATTTTTTTAAAGATATCCTAAATACTAATTAAAAATCTTGCTTCCTGTAATGCATTCTCTTGCTCTGGTGTACACCGAAGGGGTTCTATAAGCCTTAAATTGATGTAGGAGATATCTCTCGAGAAAGAGGAGCTCTCTAGGAAAATTGAAGGTTTCCAGAAGTGTCCAACACACTTCTTTAGTTTGCCCTCAGCCGACCCAATAGGCGCATTAGGCGTCAAGAATACTCACATTCTGACTTTTTGAATGTCTTCCAGGACTCTGTATCCTTGGTTTTACCATCATGTGACGAAATAGTATGCATGGGGGATTTCAATTTGAATCTCCTTAGATTTCATGAGGTTGCATGTGTACATTTTTACTCTGTCTTGGATGCATTGGGACTCACACAAATTGTATCAGAACCCACTCGTGTTACAGCTACCACTGCAACATTAATTGATTTTATAATTGTCGCATCAGATATCGAAGTGAAAAATGTAGGTGTCATAAATATGCATCACTTATCAGATCATTGCTTAATATACTGTCACTATCCAATTAATGTTAACGTACGTGTTAATCCACATTTATATACCTTTAGAGATTTTAGATCTTTTAATATTAATGATTTCAAAAATGATTTACACCAGATACAATGGCAAAATATCTATAACGCTCCCGATATAAACGATAAAGTTTTACATTTTACTAGAAACATTTTGACTTTGTTTAATCGCCATGCTCCTATAAAAACAGTAAAAATAACGAAACCTAAAGCTCCATGGCTTACGAATAATATTAAATTAATGATATCTCTAAGAGATGCCGCCTTTAAGCGATATAAAAAAGTCAAAACAAGTGGTTCTTGGGAATATTATAAATCGCTACGCAATTATACAACTTTTGCTATTAGAAAAGAAAAGAAAGCTTATTTAGAATTTTGTGCTCGAAGTAACTCTAAGACTATGTGGAAAGAACTCAGATCATTAAATGTATATCATGCAAAGAAATCTAACAATGCTATCCCATCTGATCTAAGTAGGTAATGTTAATAAAATTAATGAAACCTTTTTAAGTGCTGGAAGGACATCTGCTTCTGGAAATACAGAATTAGAACAATTTTATAATAATTCACTTATCAAACCAATTGGGACCTTATTTTCTTTTAAATTATCGGATGAAAATCAAATATCAAGCATACTATTTAATATTAAAACGAATGCGGTTGGTTGTGATGGTATAAGCGTGTCTATGCTTAAAATGAGTTCTCCCGAAATTCTACCGGTAATGACCCATATAATTAATTGTTGTCTACTATCTTGTGTGTTTCCAGAAATATGGAAGACTGCTAATGTTATACCGTTACCTAAGATAAACGAACCTAAATTATTTAAGAACCTTCGTCCCATCAGCATCTTACCAGTTATGTCAAAAATTTTAGAAAAAATAATGGTAGAGCAAATCAATAAGCATAATTATTACGCTTCATAATATCTTACCTGAAACCCAATCGGGTTTTAGGAAAGGTTATAGTTGTGCTACTGCCCTCTTGAATATAACGGACGATATACTGTCTGCTGCCGATAAAAATAGAACATCAATTTTTGTCATGTTAGACTATTCTAAAGCATTCGACACAATTTCTCACCAAATTTTGTTTAGTATCTTGCGATTTATTGGATTTAGTGTCACTGCTGTGGAACTTATGCAATCCTACCTCACTAACCGTTTTCAAAAGGTAATTTTAAATGGAGAGAGTTCTACTTCCTTGCCTATTATAGCTGGGGTGCCCCAAGGATATAATCTAGGCCCATTACTATATTAGTTGTACACGTGCAACTTCAGAAATCATGTCAAGCATTGCAGGTATCACTTATATGCCGATGATACACAGCTTCAAATAGATTTTCAACCTGATAATGTGGCTTTAGCTAACAAATTAATTAATTCTGACATTGATGCTCTTGTAAATGTTTCTGAAAAGCACTGTTTAAAAATTAATGCAGAGAAATCCGTAGTCATGGTATTTGGGCAACGTAAAGCCAGAAACTTAATTAAACAGGATGCGGATGTTAAGGTGGCAAACTCGGCTTTGCTTGTGAAAGAAACTGCCAAAAATCTGGGCCTGATTTTAGATGATAGTTTGAAATTTTCCCATCATATTACTTCTTTATTACGGAAAGCGTATATAAATTTGAAACTTATTTTTAACCAAAGATACTGCCTAAGTGGGAAATTGAAGATGTTGTTATGTGAGTCTCTAGTACTGTCGCACTTTAATCATTGCCATACTGTGTATGGACCGTGTCTTGGTAGCTTTGATGTGAAAAGAATTCAGCGAATGCAGAACTCTTGCCTTCGGCTCATATATGGTATTAAGAAACACCATCGTATCTCTCATAAATTAACTGAATCTAAATGGCTAAATATGTATAACCGAAGAGTTCTGCATTCCGCAGTTCTATTTCACAAAATTATAACTACTAAGAAACCGAATTACCTTTTTCACAAAATTAAATTTAGATATGATATTCACAACGTAAATATTAGAAAGAAAAGTTTTATCACACCTCCAATCCATAAATCGCATTTGTTTAAAAAATCATTCTCATATACCGTTAGTAATTTATATAACTCACTGCCTGAATGTGTAAAAACTCTTAGGACTGCCTCTTTCAGACATCGCCTTACTAAAACTATTTATGAAAATAAAAAAAAATAGTTCTTAAAATTTCTTTTATTTTTATTTTCTTTTTTTTTTGTTTTTTATTTATCTTGATATTTTTCTCTTTTTTTTAATTAACTTCCCCTCCTCTTCATCTATAAATTATTATTGCCATTTATTGCAAATGGCACGCCACTTAAACAACCAATTCATATTAAATTAATTAATATAATTTCAATTTTGTACTCGGGACGTATTCTTTCTTTCAATAAAAATTATTGTTAAGTATTAGGGTTAAGTGGAAGAGCAGATTATGAAACTTCGTATTCATAAATCTGAACTTCGCCCTATTGAAGGTGACTCTGACGTTAGTTTTTTATTTCCTATTTAATAGTCATGAATTCTGTTTATTAGTATGTACAGTGTTATCCTTCAATAAATGACCATTATTATTATTATATTTTTTAATTCATTCAAAGTCGAAGAATGTATGCCCAAATACACACCCTCATAAAGAAAAAAGAACTAGCTCCAATTCTCGAAATAAGCATCTGTTTGTGTCACTTAAATTAGTTACAAAAGCAAAAATAAAAATGAAGCAAGAAGAACCGCTCGGTAACGATCTCCCGTCGTGTTCGCCGATGTGTTGCACCCATCAGAAAAACATTGGCACACCTTCTCGGCCTTTAGTACGTCAGCATATTTGCAGCCTTCATCATCATCTTTAAAAAAAACGCGTCCACATTCTCGCGTTATACGGAAAATGGAGTAGGGATAGTTCACTGAAAGACGACAATTAATAACAGTTGCATTGTAGGCGACAACAAACTAATCATTTTCAGAAAAACTCACTAAAGTACTTGGTTTTTTTACAAAACGGTTTAACTGCATCATTCGTCGGTTCGCATTCCTGGTAAAAAGGGCTATCCAGGTCTGTTGTTGACAGGGTCAAACACTCTTCGTTTTCTGTGCTATTACATTGGAAACACTTTATCCCATCAGCTGCAAATAAAAAAAAAATTGTAAAAACATTTTTCGCAAGATATTCTGCACTTACTTCCAGGAAGGTGTCGAAAAAAGGCAACTACAATTATTGGTAGTAGAACGGAACTGTGCATATCGTAGCTGGGACTGCAAAATGAGATTGTTTTTTGAGAATATGCGTGCTGAATACTTACACCATAAAATTTTCTGATCCTGTTCAAAGCTTATGGGTGTCGTAAAAAGCTTTTAAAATAAATTACATTATAAACTGCAGCAGCTATACGATTATTTTTGCGGTTCCGTTCGCGTAAACGTGTAGTACACCTAAATACAGGACGTGAGGTAGGATTTGTAGATCTAGGTTTATGTAAATATGGCGCGTGGTATCAGTTAAAGTAACTTTTCTGTTACCACAGATTAACCTATACTGGGTAATCTGTGCTGTTACCGACTTATCCTTTCGTTTGAGGGATTAGTGTTTTTCTAATAATTGTTGCTACCAAAGTTCAGTTTTAAAACGAGTCCACATACAGAACCAAAACTCTCATCAAATACATCCGTTTATGGAGCACGCAAACCTTATACCTCCATTTACTATAGTATTACCTAGAACTTCCTCTCGGCCCCTTAAGCTACAGCTTTGTGGATAATCCGCGACCTTTACCAGTTCCATGATGACCGATTGTCCTTATAACCTAAGATCTATATTTCCAGCTGAAGGTGGAGTACGTTATAATTCTCCATAACTACCGACCACCAGCGTCTGTTTTTGATTGTCCAATTCCATTAAGTTTTTGACAAAAGCCCTTGTCTGTCGCTCGATGCGTTACATCTAGCGGATAAATTTTAAGAGGAAACGTGCAGTTACTCCTCGAGTATTTTAGCATAAATTTTGAACGTTTTAGGTTTTTCTAACCTAGTGCAATTTCATTCGGAGGTATAGATCGTATCATCTAAAACAAGAATCGGGGGAAAGTACTAAATCTGGGACCAAAAGAGCCATGAAAAGCACGCCAATTTTGTCCATAGAAGCACTTCTGAGACTAGAGCTTTTACACGATCCCCTGATAGCAAGAACAAGAAGGGCTGTCTTAAAGAGACCAAAAAGTTATAAACATCATACGTATCCAAACTTTAGGAAAGCAAAAGAACTATTTTAATCGAGTCGATAACTGCGGCTTTCTCAATACCTCTTTTTTTTAGAACATTTCGAAAACAGCCTACCTAGGATACGTGACTTACAAATAAAACTAAAAGTTTACCTTCGGACGGCTCAATGTTTTTAATTCTTTCGCAGTCGAAGAATGTATGCACTAATACGCATCCACATACAAAGATCTAGCTCTAATTTTCAAAAGAAGCATCTGTTCGTGTAACTTAAATTAGTTGCAAAAGAAAAAAGAAAAAAGAAGCAAGAAGAATCGCTCGGTAAAGATTTCCTTTTATCTTCGCCGACGTGTTACATCCATCAGTAAAACATTGGCAAATCTTCTCGAACTTTAGTTCGTCAACGTATTTGCAGCCTTCTTCACTGTCTTTGAAAAGGATGCGTCCACACTCTCGCGTTATACGGAAAACGGCGTTGGCATCTGCCACTGAAAGACGACCATTAATAACAACTGTAGGTTCGAACCTACCTTTAATTGGTAAATCAACTCCAACAGCATAATTTTCGGATTCGGAGAAACTTACTCAAGTACTTGGTTTTTCTACAAAACGGTCTATCTGTATCATTCGTCGCTTCGCATTCCCGGTAAAAAGGACTATCCACGTCTGTTGTGGATAGCGACAAACACTCATCGTTATCTGCGCTGTTACATTGGAAGCACTTTATTCCGTTAGCTGCAAATTAAATCGTGAAATACTTCTTTCGCCAGATATTCAGCCCTTACTTCCAGGAAAGCGCCAAAAAAAGGCAACTACAATAATTAGAGGTAGTAGAACGGATCTGTGCATATCGTAGGTGGGACTGCAAAATGAGATTGTTTTTTGGGGATGGGTGTGCTGAACACCTATACGCCATAAAATTTTCTGATCCTGTTCAAACAGCAAATGAATCTTATGAGTGTAATAAAAAGCTTTTAAAACTACAGGATTAACTTAGCGGTTTTAGTAGAATTGCCCCTCGCGTAAAATTAGACCATCAGGACATGATATACTGAATTGGTAGGATTTGTAGATTTAGGTTTATCTAAATATAGCGCGCGGTATCGTTCAAAATAGCTTTTATGTGTTACCGACTTAACCTGTCGTTTGAAGGATTAAGGTGTTTCTATCAAACATTGCCTTAATACTACTTAAAAAATCAAGTTATACTTTGTATGGGGTTAGCTTTATTTATATTTCTATTGTTATATACAAATTTTATGGGGAGTAAAAGCGTATTCATTATTATTATATTATTATATAGGAGGTACCTACCAGAACCTTTCTTATACCAGTTATATCCTTAAGGAATACGTGTACCTACCAGCTTTCAAAGCGTCGGGCACATGATACGTACGCCTTTCTGAAATTAATCCTAGCAATGATAGTTTCTTTAAAAACCTGCGATCGCTTTGAAAATTGGTACACATGGTCTTAAGGATATAAGAAAGGTCCCTATTGTTTTTAAGTTACGTAGACTATCGAGTCAAAAAGTTTCACCCCAGGATCGTTCGGTATTCAGTTGTATCGGATTTTTATATTTGATTTTGTGATAATGGAAACTTTCCCTAAACATTTCTAAATAGTTCTCAAATACTTGAATAACTTAAAAGTACTGCCTTTTTTTGATCCCCGAAAAAAAAGTCTCAGATCGACCCGGAAAAAAATTTTCTTATAGAATGTGGCCTGTAGAATCCATAATTTTAAACAGTTCCAAGATTGGGCTACTAGTTCAAAAGTTACAGCCCTTTGAATTTTCTTTCGAAATTGGTTTCTAGTCTATAACTTTTGATTGAGAAATCTGATCGAAAAAGTACGAATTGTTTTGGATTCTACGCACCAAAATTAATAAGAAAAAGTGTTTTCCCGAGAAATTTTGGTGGAGTCGATTTTTGGTAAAAAAGGAAGGTTATACACTGCCTTTTTTTGAGGCCCGCAAAAAAAATTGTCTCAGATCGACCCGGAAAAAAAATTTTCTTATAAATGTGGCCTGTAGAATCCATAATTTCAAACAGTTCCAAGATTGGGCTACTAGTTCAAAAGTTACAGCCCTTTGAATTTTCTTTCGAAATTGGTTTCTAGTCTATCACTTTTGATTGAGAAGTCTGATCGAAAAAGTACGAATTGTTTTGGATTCTATGCACCAAAATTAATAAGAAAAAGTGCTTTCCCGAGAAGTTTTGGTGTAGTCGATTTTTGGTAAAAAAGGAAGGTTTGTACACTGCCTTTTTTTGATCCCCGAAAAAAAATTGTCTCAGATCGACCCGGAAAAAAATTGTCTTATAGAATGTGGTCTGTAGAATCCATAATTCCAAACAGTTCCAAGATTGGGCTACTAGATCAAAAGTTACAGCCCTTTGAATTTTCTTTCTAAATTAGTTCTAGTCCATAACTTTTGATTGAGAAGTCTAATTGAAAAAGTACGAATTGTTTTGGATTCTACGCACCAAAATTAATAAGAAAAAGTGTTTTCTCGAGTAATTTTGGTGTAGTCGATTTTTGGTAAAAAAGGAAGGCTGTACACTGCTTTTTTTTGAGGCTCGAAAAAAAAATTCTCAGATCGACCCGGAAAAAAAAATTTCCTATAGAATGTGGCCTGTAGAACCCATAATTTCAAACAGTTCCAAGATTGGGCTACTAGTTCAAAAGTTACAGCTCTTTGAATTCTTTCTAGTCTATAACTTTTGATTGAGAAGTCTGATCGAAAAAGTACAACTTGTTTTGGATTCTACGCACCAAAATTAATAAGAAAAAGTGTTTTCCCGAGAAATTTTGGTGTAGTCGAATTTTGGTAAAAAAGGAAGGTTATAACTGCTTTTTTTTTGCCCCGAAAAAAAATTTGTCCCAGATCGACCGGAAAAAAACATTTTCTTATAGAATCTGGCCTGTAGAATCCATAATTTCAATCAGTTCTAAGATTTGGCTACTAGATCAAAAGTTACAGCCCTTTGAATTTTCTTTCGAAATTGGTTTCTAGTCCATAACTTTTCATAATATTCAAATACCTTGCGAAGTATTCGAATACTAAATATTTGTGAAAGTATTTGAGTTACAAATACAAATACTGCTTCCATAAAAGTATTTAATTACAAAGTATTTGAATACTTTAAAAGGATTTGAATACTAAAAAGTATTTACAAAATCGAATACTGCCTTGAACAATCAAAAATTCCCTTCTAGACCTTTTCCCGAACTATCAATCGTCGTTTCCGACTGTCTTAGGTGTATTCAAGATCTCTCTAGGTTCTTCCAAAGTTTTCTCGATCGGTAACGTGTTAGAAAGCTCTGCCCTATAAAGTTTTAGCATCTTTCCCGAGCGTTCTAGCGCCTTTTCAGAGTATTTTGGCTTCCTTATAGGTCCAGTTCAGGAAAGATTGCATTGGACTTTGTTTTCGGGGATCCAGGTGCTTAAAAAACGCATTGGAAGAAAAAAAATGAATTATTTATTAATATAAATAAAAACAATCACCAAAATTGGCTGTCTAACTTTAGCAAATACTGACCAATAATATTACGTGTGAGGTACACCAGCACCAACCAAGCTATAACAAACAATTTACTACATACATCACTTTAGCTACATTTACTATCAAACGAACTGAATACGAGAAAAGGCAACGTTATAGCGACTTGTGCAGGGTTGGTTGCCTATCAAATAACCGGCACGTTACTTGACACGAAGGCACAGTACGAGTGAAATACAGAGAAAGTGACTAAATTATTTGTAACTGAAATAAAATCGTTGCACGGTCAATCCTATTCCAACGGCGAGTGCAATCTGGAATACTGCTTGGAGTGGCATCGACGCTGCATTGCAACCGTCGGTGTGGCAGATGCAGCTCCTTTCGTACTTGAAGTCGGTGTCGTAGTTGTAACAGCTTTTGTTGTTTTTCAAAAGAATGAATCCGCACTCCCTGCTTGTTCGCCAGGCGAAGTCTTGTTGTCTTGCTGTAACAGAAAGTTTCTCGATTAAAATGTTTGCATGTAAAAGAACAGTTACACTATATTCCGTTAACGTCTAATGGCAGTTTTTATCATTTTATCTCAAAAAGGATGTAAACACCTCGTTGGTATCGTCGATTTACTTTAAATGGAAACGGTGAACAACCCGTTGCCATTGGCAATTTTCAATTTTCATACTTTTGTGTACGTTTATGGAAGGTGAATGATTTATTGACACAAAGCTGTGCATGATCATGAATAGTAATCTAAGTGGACCATCCATCCCCCGCCTGCTGTAGGGCAGCCCTTACTACCCCTAATACAAACTATAAAATCTTATTCGTTTGAAATCAGCGAATGGTTCCATTAACTTGGCACCTCGCTTGGCACTGAAAGAGAAAGTCGAGTCGAGCTTTCTGATACATATTGGTCCGTATGAATAAAAGTAAGCAAATGCTTATACTTGCAAAATTCAAAGTGAATACTCGTAACTGCCCCTTCATACTGGTCTGTTTAGCATGGTTTATCAGCGCTGCACTGCGTCCTGTCCTTCTGCTTAGAAGCGCTGCTAAGTCTTCCAGTGCGAAGGGGCACTTACGAGAATTTACTTTGAATTTTGCAAGTATAAGCATTTGCTTCCTTTTATTCATACGGGCCAATGTGCCCCTACATTTTCACTGAACCAATGGAATCAAATCTTCACTCTTCTCGGTCGTATGGTTCTTCATTTCGAAGATGATCTGAAGAAGAGTACCTAAAATAGAACAAATACTTCACTATGTTGGTATCAGGAAGTGATCACAACACAATGAGCGACAACCACTGAAATGGTCAATAAAGCGAAGTTTGAACGAACGTGGATAGACAAATGAGAGGTTAGAACAGAGAAATAATGGCACGTCAAGCTTCGTATCGACTTTAAGATTATATATTCGCAATTTTAAGAATAAGCATTTTTACTTCATTTTCTTCAATGTGGATTAACGACCCATCGTTATTATAATGTTCTTGTTCTCATTGTTTTTAATATAAACCTATATCATACTGTAATACAATCCATCGACATTTACCTGACATTTAAATGAAATAACAAAGACTATACGCGATTTGATCGTGTTGAAAACTGCAAAAATTAAAATCAATAAGGAAACATCGTCAGAGACAACGAAAACAACACTACTGCGCTTTTCAGTTTATCATCAGAGGCAAATTTGCGATTCCCGGTGTATTT